ACGGTTACAGTTATGCTGTAAGGACTACCTCCTCCCTGATAATGTATTAAAACAAATAGGTACCAAAAAATATATATAACAATGAGACTGATGTGACAATAGATGGTATAATTAAATATATTAGTACTATCTACCTTAATTCTTCTACAGTTTATCCTAAAATGTGCCCGTCAAACTTTGTATATAGAAAAATAGGTTTTGATCTATACCTACATGACGTTAGCAAAGTTTGGCCAGCTACTTTTGGGACATCCTTATTTTTTTGTTATTTCCATGTTAAAAGAAAATGTTTATTATATAAAAAGGCAATGAAGCCTCATATTACAAAGTTGTTTTTTTATTTTTATTTTTAACTTTTTGTTTTTGCCCATTAAAAGTATTGGAGATTTTTTTTTGGCAAAGTTGGAGAATTCTAGTGAATTTTTGTCTAGGTTTTTGAGAATTTTAACATTTTACTGTTGGCAACACTGGCGCTTGGAATTGAAATCGGTGCCTTGCACGATCCAGCCATGCAGCGAAGCAGCTGAAAATCTGCTGGGTGGTTGGGATACTTCCTTAGATCCGCGGTATTCAGTAAGATGAACTCGACAGATTGATGTTAATTAATGTTATGTTTCTCGGGCTAATGTGGATTCAACGTCAAATTCTTTCCTTATTGTTATTACCCGCGGGAATTTCTCATTTGTTCTGTTTACGATTAATATATACAATATCGGGAGCCCGTTTTTACAATTGCGCCGGCAAAATGCAGTAGAAAACCTTTTAACGTACATGTAATTACCTCAAAGAGAATTTATTTACATACTTATTTGTGGACCATGTAATGCGACCCAGGGCTATTACTCACCTGCGAGAATTTCAAGGACGGAAATTTTGGCATTCGGCTCGAGAATGCTACATTAAGAGCCTTTTAAGTAAATAGTGGTGAAGCATTTAATTATTTAAATTAACCTTCCACTTTAAAGCGGCTAAGGTATTTACTTATTCTATAGAAAGTATAAATTATAATAAAATTATTCAGCTCTTTTAACAACCGAAACATTCCACAGATTTCAGAACCTGATTAAAAAAATTATATCAAAGATTAAAATAATACAAATATTAAATTAAATTAAATATATTTTACCATATATGGACAAAGCATTATTTTTTTACAAATAAGAATTAAAGCATGATGAATAAAAATGTTAAAAATCGATTTAGACCAGTGGCGGCTGGTGGATTTTAAGTATACCAATATCTCAGTTATTAGACATGGGACCCACACCAAATTTATAATGGTTTATATTGACATAAAATAAACAAGTTCGGCGCAAACAGAATTTAAATTGAAGTTTGCGAAAAAAAGTTAGTTTTTCCTGTCGCCTACCCTGCCTCCAGGCCCCCCTATTTGAGATAATTCAAATTAAAGTGGTGCAATTTATTATCTACTATAATTTATCGAAAAATTTAAAATTTAATTCAAAAAATCCAAATATTACAGATTTTATTCGATTTTAAATTTTTATTATTTATTTTATTAAAATAAAAAAATATTTAAAATGGTATAAAAACTGTAATATTTGGATTTTTTAAATAAAATTTTAAATTTGTCGATAAATTATAGTAGATAATAAATTGCACCACTTTAATTTGAATTATCTCAAATAGGGGGGCCTGGAGGCAGGGTAGGCGACAGGAAAAACTAACTTTTTTTCGCAAACTTCAATTTAAATTCTGTTTGCGCCGAACTTGTTTATTTAATGTCAATATAAACTATTATAAATTTGGTGTGGGTCCCATGTCTAATAACTGAGATATTGGTATACTTAAAATCCACCAGCCGCCACTGATTTAGACCTACTCTAATTAGTCAAAAATACCTACCATATTTGACTAATTGTCATAGCGAAAAAGCAGTCCCTAATAATTAGTCAAATTCTACAGAAAGAAATAGTCAAATTAGTAGATTTAAATTTAAAAAGTTCTGACCCAAACGGGGTTTGAACTCGGGTCTGTCGCTTGTCAAGCTGATGACATAACCAATGTGCTATCAGTCACTTATTTAAAAATCAATTTTATTTGTCAATAAATGTTGTTAATATTTTAATGTTGATTATTTCCCTCAATATAATATGAACCAATCAAAAGCCTTGAATTTTCGAATAAATTTCGTTTAAATAAGCGATTAAATCACTAGACCTTTTTAACAGCGATTAAATTTTAGCCTCCATATTGGATTTTTGTTTATGATTTTATGGTGTTATTTACAAGTTTTAACAAACATTTTTTAAAAAACAATAAAAAAATAAGTTATTTAGTTTACGAAATATCAATTATTACTTATTACATACCTTAAATTAATGGAATTTTCTTTAAAAAAATATTTATAAACTTTGACACATACGTCAGATTTTATGAATGGTCAAATAGTTTCCTTTAATTCGAGAAATAATCTAGACGTATATCACTCAACCTATAAATTTAATCTGTCAAACTATGCTCAGTAAGTTTTTTATTTGATTTTTCTTTTTGGAAAATAGTTTCATGCAAAATAATTAAAAATAAAACCCCTCAACCGCTACGCGGTCTCGTGATTTTATTAAATTATTTTGCATTCAACATTTTACAACAAAAACCAAACAAAAAACTACTGAGAATAGTTAACCCGATTAAATTCATAGTTCTCGTGATATAATATATGAATATATTTTTTGTGCTACTGTTTTAAGCTAAACTATTTTCATCTTTGTTTGTTTTTATGGGCCATTTAACCATGGAGCCTATAGGTAAGCATTTAACTCTAACAATAGTTTGTTGTTGGCCGCAAACGATTAAAGAAATTAGTTACTTTTAACTCTCAGAAACAGACAAAGATGGTGACTTATCTTAAATTAGTCAAACTTTAACTATTTAAGTAGTAAAAAATAACTATTTAAAAGTGAAAACGACTATTTTATTAGTAAAAAATGCTGGTACTAATTCAAATAGTAGAGTTTGGACTATTTCATTTTGAGAGAGTATACTCTCTTAAAATGAAGTCTATAGACTCCCTAATCAGTATGGTTCACATATACCTTTCTTTTAAAAAATCCCTAGCGAAAGAAAAGGTAAATCACAATTGTTGGTTAATATTATTACTTTCCATCATGTTGAAATCACATTGAAGTAAGGTGACCGACAATTAAACCCACAATTACTCTCTTAAAATGAAATAGTCAAAATTCCACAATTTGAATTAGTACCAGCATTGTTTACTAATAAAATAGTCGTTTTCACTTTTAAATACACTTCCCGTCAAATTTAACGCACCACTAAAATTTTGGCACAATTTTAAAGTTGATTTTCTCGCGAACCGTCAAACCGAATTTGTTTTAAATTGTTAGTTTATTCTTTGGTTATGATGCCTTTATTAAAATATTTTTTCAAATTTACGTTTTGAGTATATACTGTAAATTTGAAGCGCCCTGTGTGTTGTTCCAGCTATAACATCAAACTATAGCCCCATCTTCTCTTAACATTTGGTTTTTTAATTCACCGCGTTATCTTTATTTTTAAAAGAAATATACAGTTAAATATTAAAGAACTCAAATCAATAAAACGTACATTAAAGAATATAAATATCGCGTATTTCCGCCTCTACTTTTAATTACGGCTTCACATCGACGACTCATACTCGAAACCTCTAATCTCGCCTTGATCAATGACATTCCATATTTCTCGTACTCTCTAAAACTGAATTAGTCAAAAATGACTTATTTAATAGTTATTAGTGGCTGCTTTTTCACTTGTATCATGGTTAACCATGGAATACCATGGTATCACAAAATTTAACAGCCAATTCTTATGTAAAATTGTCCCCTGAATCTGAAAATACCGTCAAAAATTATAAAAGTGGAGCAGTTTTTGAGATATAGTCAATTACATATTAAATGGAAAATTGAATATATTTCAAGAACTGTTCTACTTTTTTTAACTTTTGACGACATTTTCGGATTCAGGGGACAATTTTACATAAGAATTGGCTATTTAATTTTGGTTAACCATGGTACAAGTGAAAAAGCAGCCAATAATAAATATTAAATTAGTCATTTTTGACTAATTCATTTTTAGAGAGTAGCATATTTGCTACGTCGTTAAGGGAGGCAGGCAAGGGATCATAATTTCTTAGTCGTCTACCCATATTATCCCAAAAATGCTCAATGGGGTTGAGATCCGTACTATATGCAGGCCAGTCGAAAGTTTCAACACCCACCTCATGTAAGTACTCTTGCACTGTATGAGCGGTGTGAGGTCTTGCGTTATCCTGCATCAGTAAAAAATTATAACCGATTTCCGAAGCGAACAATGACGAGTTCTGTGCGAGCTGTCAAGGAAATTCCTCCTCAAACCATTACAGAACCTTCATTAAATAGCGTGGTTTCACAAATGTTACACTGTGAAAATCTCTCATTTGGACGTCGGGAACCTTTACTCGCCGATCAGAGCTAAACAAAACCTGGACTAGTCTGTAAATAGTACACGCTGCCAATCCTCAATATTCCAGCCAACATGTCTGGCAAATTGCAGTCTTGCTCTACGATGATTTGCATTTAACTTCGGTCCTGTTGCTGGAATTCTGAAGGTCAAATTCTGTTCCGCAAGACGTCTTCTTGCGTTGGACACACTTGTTAACTACTATTTTACTACATGTGAAGCGCTCTGAGAATAGAGCCCAAGTGTCCAGACGCGTTCCAGCGGTAATTTTAAAGGAGAAAGGGAATTACAGATGAGCGGGCTATTAAACACAATGTTACGGAGAATGTTAAACGCGTTTTTACGTGCAAAATATTTAACAAAAATTATTACTGACTTAAGATATAATTAAAGAACAGTCTTTTATTAATCTATAACCAAGCGATTATAAAAAAGTTGATTTTTGCACGCTTAGGTTCGATTTTTCGGAGCACGTAACATTTATAAATAATTATTATAATTTTGTAATTTAATAAATCTTCTTATTATTTTCTTATTTTTTTTAGCTGATGTAGTACTGTGCACTCTTCCACTTGGAGTATTAAAATTAAGCGCTGCACCTTCGAGCACCCAACTGAACACCGTCCAATTTTCGCCGCCTCTGCCCGACTGGAAAACCTCGGCTATACAACGATTAGGTTTCGGCAACCTAAACAAGGTCGTTTTGTGCTTCGAGCGAATCTTCTGGAATCCGCAAGCAAATCTTTTTGGTCATGTTGGTAGCACCACTGCCAGCAGAGGAGAACTGTTTTTGTTCTGGAATTTGTATAAAGCTCCGGTTTTACTTGCTTTGGTAGCTGGCGAAGCTGCAGCTATTATGGAGAATGTTACAGATGATGTTATTGTTGGAAGGTTAGAAAGCATAATTAAAGTAATCATATTAACATATCTTTATATCATTATGTTATCATACCTGATTTATGTGTTCCGAAAAGTATCGATACGATATTGTCGTAGAAATACAAATCATTTTGTATTATAATAAGAGTTTAAAACAAATTTAATAAACTATTTAAGTAATAATATTTCTAAAAAATAACCATGAGCTTACCTCATAAAGAAACTGTTACTTTGTAAAACCCAAAAAACGCACATATTAAATATTCCTAATAAATATTTTTTAGATGCATTGCTGTTCTAAGAGGTATTTTCGGCCAATCAGGCGTGCCACAGCCGAAAGAAACAGTGGTGACTCGTTGGAGGGCCGACCCTTGGTCTAGGGGTTCCTATAGCTTTGTAGCAGTGGGCAGTTCCGGAAGTGACTATGATCTTTTAGCTTCGCCTGTTATTCCTCCAAACGCACAAGGCGTATCAGTGACCTCAGGACCTGCAAGATTGTTTTTTGCAGGAGAACACACTATCAGAAATTATCCTGCAACTGTTCATGGTGCCTTTTTAAGCGGACAAAGAGAGGCAAGCCGTATTGCAGATCAAATTATGGGTAACCCATGTCACCCACAACCTGCAGAAGGTTGATTTTTTAGAGTAAGTACTTTTCAAATAGACTAATTGTTTTTTAACTTTGCCACTTTATGTAATTGTGCCTGTACTTTAACATGTTTTTATTGTACTTAGTTATTTAATAAAGCTTTTGAATGAAATATTGCTCTCATTTATATAACCTGTCTAAATCTTGATTAAATGATAAGTTAGTTAACAATTTTAATTTTATATTAAGTGAAACTTATTATTAAACAAATATTTTGTATTTTAATTAAGTTTAGCTCTTTAACAAATTCTAAGTCTGTGTTATTTGCTTTTATTGTAGGTAATGACGTTAACCAAGATAAACTGTAAATTGGCTAAGTACGAGCGAAACAAATTGAGAAATACGTTGTGCCGGCCGTGATTTATTAAAGCCAACGAAAACACTATATAATGAGTGAACGTATAAAAATTCAATTCCTCTCCAGGATTAAAAAAAACTGTGTATATTGCAATTCACGTTTTTCACTACTATTTGTTTATTATTATTAATTTATGATGTTTATTTTTTTTTTGAAAATTATATAGCAGCCTTAGGGTTAGAGTAGTTGATAATTGGCCCAGATGCGAAATAAATCAGAATAAATTATTGAAATATTATCTGTATTTGCTATCATAAATTGTAAGCAACAGGTGTACAGATACCAATGACCTCTTAACAAAAACAATGGTCCATTAAAAGTATCTGTTATCAGTATTATTATTGGGCATAAGGCGAAAGTAGTTAAATAAATTTGGATAACTGGAACGGCTTCTTCATTAGCTATGTAAATTGAATTCGCTATTAAATAATGATTTATGGCCTTTACTCTTCGATTTAAGCAGGATAAGGAAGACTTCTTTTGGATAACTTGGGGTCAGCGGCAACTCATCAATAACAACTATTTTGGAACTGGTTTATATTATATTCACTATGTTCGTGTTAACAATATTGTTATCTATTCTTTATTGTCCGTTATATTGAGTCTTTAATTAAATAAAATTTATTGATTACCAAAAAACTGTTTTGATTTTAATGAGGTGTTAGCCCATTTACAGTTTAATATAACACGCTATATAAGTAAATATTATAGTAAAACTACCGAAATGTATCAAAATATTGCTGTGTGACACGCCTATAAGCTGAAACAAATTGTCGCCTACACTAAGAAAAAAAAATAGTAATTTCAAACAAATTAATTAATTGATTCCAAATTTAATTCTTTAAACATCGAATATGAATGAAAAAATACATAGGTAAGTCAAAAAGCAATTATGGCTGAATGCCCCTGTTGCATGCTGCTCACGATGTCAAACAGATAGTCAAAAAATTAGGCACCAAGGGGAAAAACTGTTTTTTCTTCTCATGAACGAGGCTGTATATTCTTTGCCATTTTCATTAATTCTGATTACTTTTCCGATTTATTGTTTTACAAATTTCATGGTAGGAAAATTTGATAAAAATAAAGTCATTTTATTTATTACGAGTATTAAGTTTCTTAACATAATGATGTTCTTCATTCAAGTCTTTTGTTAAAGTGGACAAAGCAAATTATGTGTCGGGCAGGAACACTGCTTTTTTCCTAGGCTTTGATTGTTCGAGACGAAACACCTTTTTCGTTACTTTCTTCTGGTTGTCTGTTTTGTTCAGCTCTTTAGTCTGTACATGAAGGGGGTGTCGGTTTAACTGCTGTAGATTTCTTCTGCCTTTTTTTTATTCAATGTTTGTTTAAATTCGACCACTTTTGGATATGGAATGGTGGCTTCGGGGAAAAGTAGAGGCTCATTAACATCTGTCGCCTCAAATGCATAATTAGATGGTTCCTCTTGGTCTTTATTGAAGACGTCCTTACTCTAGGTTCAGGCTCTTTTCTTGTTGATGTTACTGCACCGATATGGTGATAAAAGCAGCTAAGAAATCTTCATCTCCATAAACAATTTTGTCAAAGGGGCAAATTTCAGTACCTATTTGTGAAAGCTAAAACTCAATTTTTTACAGTTATCGCCTGTGGATAGACATTTGTCAAGATCTCTGGAATATCATAGATTAAGATTCTACCTTCCGGATGGTTCAGAAGAAATTTCTGAATCGATTCGATTTATTGTAGAATATTTTTAGCAGGCCGAACAGGGGCGTACGCAGAGGGTTTGGAGGTTTTAATTCCCTCCGAAAATGTGTGATTCTCAGTGAGAAATATTTTTTTTATCTTTACTAAAGCTTTATAAAATGCAAAAAACTTTATCTCAAAACAATATAAACAGTGTTTATTAAATTTTAATCAGATCGTCAAATGAAGTCGAATTTCAAAGATTTCATTGAAAAAACTTCTAAATCATTAAATCTGCTTTCGATCATACTCGAGCGTATGTTTTAATTCGTTTCAAGCATGAGAACAAACTTTTCGAAGAACAATAATAATTATTATTGCTCTAATATTAAGAAAAAACATTAAGTAGATTTTGAAATCTGATCCAGTTTTATTAATGTTTTTTGTTTTCTAGTGCCAAACTTTCTATATCGTCTGAAATATCCTGTAAATAAACGTTATATAATTTTAATGCTTCACACCTTATTTCTTTAACAGAAATTTAAAGAGAAAAAAAATCGTAGTATTTAGAAACTTCCAATTTAAAAAAAATCGAGAAGAAAAAATTGACAAATTTAAATAGTTTTTCTTCCATATCCTATATCATCTAATTGAAATTTATAGACCAAAAACTTTGTGAATAATCTATTGCAGTACTGAGGCTATAAAATAAAATGTTGGTCCAGTTTGACTAAATTCCTAAATGGTTTTCAATAAAAACTTTGTAAGCCATAATGGTACTTATATGCCATTAAGAATTGTATTTGTAATACAATTTATTATACAGTTAAGTATACATAACTATAGCTAAAAAGTAGTAAAAGTGTTTGTAAAATAAACATTTATTAAAGCTTAACAAGGTAAAGATTCATTCATCTTAAACTAATTTCCTGTTGAAGTTGCCTAAAGAAAATTTATAAACTCTTATAAAAATGATTTAAATTTCGTTCCGTGCAGGCAGTAATAAAAATGGTAAAGTTAAATACATTACTCAGGCCTTCATTCTCATTCAGTATTGCTTACAATTTCACGACTGACATTCCATTATTTCCACTTTGACGGATTGGTTTTGCAAAACTCGTTTTGGTTTTAGTTTTTGGGGAACTTGCTTCTTCGAGACCCATTTAAAAATCAGATAGAATTGCAATTTAAATTTATATCCATGCAGTTTGCTTAACTTAACGTTCTGAAAGGATTGACAAAGGTTTGCAATATAAATTTAAATTTGTCAATTGCTTTCTTTTGCAGTTTATGTTATAGTTTGGATAAGATAATCGCTACACTCAGAGAAATATCATGTCATGAAAAGCATATGAAACGATATTAATTCAAATAATCGGGTAAATTTGATTCAAATAGAAAAAATTGTAGTTTTATTCATTTACCAACAGTTTTACAATGTTTTTAAACACTTTTAAAGTGTACTCTCTTTAAAATATATACAAAAAGAAATCTATTTATTTCATTGCCTTTCACAACGTTATTTTAAAAATATGTATTATATAATTGTTATACACCTTTTAATTTAATGAGAAACACCAATGACGCCAAAACGTATTTGAATCCCTTTGAATTATTATCGTTTTGAATGATTCTACAACATTTTTTCTCTCAGTGTATCCTTTAATTCTTTTTCAAAACGACATAACTTTTTTGTTTCTTGAACTATTTTATTTTGGTCTGTGTTGTCCGCTAGCCTCATCCTTTGGCAATTCATGCTATAGATATGAAGCTCCTGGTTCTTCAAGTAAATTTCCTACAGGGTGATATTTTTGTTATTGTTTGTTCCATTTTTTCGCATAAAATTTTCCAAAATGAACAAACATTTTTTTATTTAAGTTTATTAGCAATTAGTAGGTACACTCAGAGAAATATCAAGTTATAACAAGCATATGAAATTATATTAATTTAAATAATCGGGTAAATTTGATTCAAATAGAAAAATTTGTAGTTTTATATTCATTTACCAACAGTTTTACAATTTTTTGAAACACTTTTAAAGTGTACCCTCTTTAAAATATATATACAAAAAGAAATCCTTTCTCAAAGTTGTTTCAAAAACATATGTATTATACAATTGTTATGCACCTATTAATTTAATGGGAAACACCAATGACGCCAAAACATATTTGAAACATTTCAGAGAAATATCAAGTTATAACAAGCATATGAAATTATATTAATTTAAATAATCGGGTAAATTTGATTCAAATAGAAAAATTTGTAGTTTTATATTCATTTACCAACAGTTTTACATTTTTTTGAAACACTTTTAAAGTGTACCCTCTTTAAAATATATATACAAAAAGAAATCCTTTCTCAAAGTTGTTTCAAAAACATATGTATTATACAATTGTTATGCACCTATTAATTTAATGGGAAACACCAATGACGCCAAAACATATTTGAATCCCTTTGAATTATTATCGTTTTGAATGATATTACAACATTTTTTCTCTCAGTGTACTTATTAATAATAAGTTATCACTAGTGCGCAATGTAAATGTAACTTATGTAACATTATCCTAACCACTCAAACAAATTGCAGTAATTTCGCCCAAAAAATGAATCCCCAAATGGCATTTTAATAATAAATATGCAAGAAACACCCCAGCAATCGGATTTTATTAAGACATTTAACAGCCGGGAATTGTTTTCGAATTTTGATTCTTGGTGATTTTGGTTTTATCTGAAACTTAAATTTGACAACTGAATCACAATCAGGAGGTCAAAATTATAAAGAAAACATGTCACGAACGTAAATATCGGTTCATCGCAAATTTTCAACAAAATGTCATTTTTAAAAAGTGGTATTGGCTTAAGTTTGTTGCTTGTTGCTTGTTCAGAATTATTCAAGGAACAATCTTTCACCATTTTATCTTATTGTTCTTAAAAAGACCGAGTGTATTGCCTACCAAAAACCCTTAAATGTACTCTTTTGGAAAAAAATCATATTTTCGTTGCTAAGATTCCAATTCGAAAAATTTGAAAAACGGTTCAAGGTAAGACATAATACTTCATTATTTTAAAGTAAAAACGAGAAAAAAATTATTTTGTTACAAATGGGGCTTGGATGAAGAAAATTTTTCACCGTTTTACATATCACCCTGTACGAAATTTACTTGAAGAACCATGAGCTTCATATCTATAGCATGAATTTCCAGAGGATGGTGCTAGTAGACATTACAGACCAAAATAAAATCGTTTAAGAAACAAAAAAGTTATGTCGTTTTGAAAAAGGATGAACTTTTTGGTCGCGACACATTGAGTGGTGCGCAGTTTAATTAATTGCGACGTAATTAATAACCTTAAAATATTCAATACTCG